GGGGGGGTCGGAAATCGCAATAAAAATTATAATTTTTTAAAAATATTTAAAAATATACCGCCAGATTGAAGTCACCCTACTTCAAACCCTTGTCCTGCTGCGATGTCTATGAGAATGTCCCGGGAAATCCGACTCCAGCTGTGTTCAAGGTCATCCAGCTGTGTAAACAATAACTCATCGGTGTTAAATTTCGCAGAAAGGACAGACAAAAAAACTTAGACTTTGAAGCTTTTTCTTCAAAATTAACGCATTTCTTTCGTTTTTTTTTTCAGTTTTAAATATTTTTTATGCATAATTAAAAATTCTAAAAAAATGGGCGGCTCAAAGGGGGTTAATGATATGAATTGCAGAATTAAATGCAGAGTATGATACAGTCACAGATGACGCGATAAGAAAGCATATAGAAATATTTGGACAGCAGATGAATAAAAGCAGTTTTAGTTACAGCAACAAGTGAATGCATTTGTTTAAACAGCATCATGTCTCATCACAGCAAAAGAAATATGTGAAACTGCTGAAGTTGATTTGGATGTTGTATGATTTGGATGAGGGAAAAACTACTCTGTTGACAATAATAGAGCTATATGATATGAAAGATATGTATAACATGGATAAAACCACTTATATTGCCAATCATAACCTGACAAAACTATTGTTTGTGCACCTGTGAAAGGCTACAAGAAGAATAAAAATAGAATCATAATTGCCTAATATTGTAATTCAGATGGTAATGACAAGAAAACTGCAACTATTATTGGAAGATCCACAAAGACCTGTTTATCCATTAGACTATTTAAAAACTTTTAATCTTATATTTAATACCACTACAGGGATAATAAAAAAGGATGAATGTCAGGCCTACTTTTTCCAAGAATTTGTTGAAGATTTTAACAGGAATATGACGAGAGAGAATCATAATGTCTTGCTATTAATTGATAATCCTGCCATAAGACAGTTAATCTGATCAATGCTGAAATTAAATTCTTTCCAGCAAACTGCATGGAAATTCTGCAACCATTTGATGCTGGCATGAGAAAAAGTTTTAAATCAAACTACAGATGCTACAAAGTAAGGAAAATTATTGAATACATCAATGATGAAATTCCTATTGAAATATCCCTTAAATCTGCACTGTGACTAATTAAAAAATTCAGATGAAGTGACAAAAACAAGTGAAAAGCAATAAATGTAATATAAATGAAGAAAAAGCAATAGTTATAGTTATTAGCCTGACATTCCTATTTGCATAATGTTTTTGATTAACCACCACCCTAGTCGTTTCATTGTGGCATGAAAATCAATGATAGTAATTCAAAGGGGTTGGCTGTAATTAGAATTAGATGTTTTATAAACGCAATGTAGCGTAATAACGATAACTTGGCACTATTCATTCTTTTATTTCAATATTCGTTGAACGAATATTAAAATAAAAGAATGAACAGTGCCAAGTGATCGTTATTACACTACATTGCATTTATAAAACAAACAAAGATATGACAGTTTCAAAACATGTTAGTAGAATTAGATGTTAAAGTGAATATACAGAGTGATTTGATAAATATGTGAAAAATTTCAAAGACTGAGTCTTCAAATAATTTTCATAAGAGTTCATATGAACTTTTATGAAAATTATTTGAAAACTCATAAGTTCATATGAACTTTTATGGTTGAAATTATTTGAATATGTATTGGTTGAAATTATTTGAATATGGTAGAAATTAATTGAAGAAATCAGTCCCTGAATATATATATATATATATAGAACCACCTTGTATATGTACATATACAGATTTTTCAATAATAAATCAATTTTCAACAGTTACATAATGTTTATAGAATAACAACACATTCATTTAATAATATTTTCAATCATCTTTGATTATTGTAAATAGTTCATTTTCTAAAATAAATTAAATAAGTAATCATCATATTTTAATAATGTAAAATAATACACTTACGAGAATTCACTTCTTTTATTACTCTTATTATTTTTTTTGTAGTAATTTCTTTATACTGGTAAGTTTTCTAAATAAATATAAATATTTGAAATTATTGAAAACAATTCATTCAAATAAACATTNTTGCTTATGCTGTAAGTTAGTTTTCTAAATAAATATAAATATTTGAAATTATTGAAAACAATTCATTCAAATAAACATTCCTTAACAAAATAATAATAAATAATGGTAGTTATACACCATAGTCTTAAACTAAATCACACAGACACATTCAAAACACAGATAATTAATAAGCCTGTCTAGCAAAAAAGAGTATAAACACAAATAAATAACATTAGACAACAATTTGACACAATATAGTAAAAACAACCTCAAACTTTATGAAACAGGTTAGGAAAATTAAAGATGAAACAGGTTTGGAAAATATTCATGAAAAATAAAATACACACAACACAAATGACATATATACATGTACACAAATACAGTAAATTTTTGTGGCACCCAAGTCATAAAGATTCAAACAATACAAAGTCTGTACACTTCAAAAGCAAGAAAATAAATTATTTGCAACATATTATTCTACATACAACTACATTCAAAAACCCATCACAGAATCATAATATAATGGCACATCAACAGAAAAAACTCAGACTATTGATCTGATCTTTAATCCAAAAATAAAACAAGCTATATCAAAGAAGAAGAAAACAGTATGTACAATAACTAATCATGTCCTGTGTTGAAATATACATAAACATCCAAAATTCAGCACAAAGAACACATGTGATGAAACCTGATGACAATATTCACAGTTACTGGTACAAAAATTTCCTCTCTGCACCAGGAACTAGCAAAAGATTTTACACACACAATCAACAATCCATAAGACTTGCCAAAATTTTTTTACACACGGCATCACACATGAAATCCAAAAATAATAACAGCAAGCACCCTATTCAATACAGACCACTCACGTGCCTTTCTACACACTACAAAATATTCACTTTATGCATCACATACATTACAGTATACAAAATACATCCAACACTTATTACATTTTTAAAAACACCATGCAACATTGGAGAACAACACTGAACATGGATACATCAGACACAACAAAACAGCACAATACATATTATCTTACCTCAAGTACAGTACATAGACAACATAAAACTGTTTGCATTCACACAAGCACAATAAATCACCTATCAAAAGTTACACATACCTTGTCCACTGAAATTCAAATAGAATTTATCCTATACAAATGCAAAACATTTCACAAAGAAAAAGGAATACTAAACAAAACAAAGATAATTTTGACTCAATCATTGAATCTGTGAGTGAAGGCAAAAATCTACAAATATTAGAATTTCAACAGCCCAAACTCACAGAACATGCACAAATCAAACAGGGACTAACAAAGGAATACAAAAACAGATTAAACTCAATAATAACAACACACATTTAAAACAATTAACATGCCATTCCAGTACTCACATTCATTCACCAACATTGCCTAACTGTGGTGTTTGTAAATCTAATGATGAGACTAATACAGAGATTACAGAAATGAGGATTTCACCAACAAATTTTAGCAAAGGATTACTAAATCCCGAGATGCTAAGAACAGAATTAGTGAATCCAATAATCTTAACACTAGTGTTGCTAGAAAATTTTCTTACATGTTACTTGATTGGATATTTTAGAAAGACAATAAGCGCTTAGATGCAAACATGGCAGACAACAAGAAAAGAAGTCGACAACCAGATTTTTCTCGTCGGGAAACAGAATATTTAATGGAATTAGTCGAAAAGTATAAAGGTATAATAGAATAAAAAAAAAAACAAATGCCATGTCTTTAAAAGAAAAAAAAAATGAGACGTGGCAAATTCTAACCAAAGAATTTAATAAGTTTCTGGAGGTTAGTAAACAGGACACACAAAACTTGAAAATTTTGTGGAAAAATTTGAAGCAGAAAGCAAGAAAAGATGTGGCATCAAATAAGCGAACACAGATGAGTACTGGGGAGGCGTATGTGCCGATACTAAATGTCCTATGCCACCGATTATAGAAAAAATTTTCTCTTTAATCCCCAAGCAATTTACACCCCTCTCAAATCCTGTTGACAGTGATGCTGATTTTAATGCCTCTGTTGACGATAAATTTGTTTATATATAATTATACGCAATCAAAACTAAACAGTAATAAAGCAGTTAATAATAATAAATAAAAATTTATAAACATTGGTATTTATTTTCAGACAATGTGGCTGAATTTCCTGTATTACTGCAACAGCAAGGAGAATCAAATAGTGAAAATATGAATACATCAAATGCAAGTGTTAAATAGTTCATTTCCCTTTATTTTTAGAATTATATTTTAGGGATCCTTTGTATATAGAATACTGTAAAATTAGCATAAAAGTAATAAAACTTGTATTAACAATCATAATTTGATGTTAATATAAATTATGTAAACAAAGTATTTTAATCATAATAATGTTTTGATAATACTAAAAACTAATTAGCCAAACAGAAATTAATTTTTTCTACATTACTTTTAAAATATTCATATTGCAAAAATGTTCATTTATATATCGCACACATTTTTAGGTCCTCATACAGGATTTAGGTCTAGTGAATTATCAGAATTTTCTGATGATCCAACAACAAATGAACCACCCAATAACAATAATTGTTGCAGTAATTTTAAAATTATTGATAAATATGCACTAGAGTATCACAAAGTTTGAATGCATTTTTTAAAAGAAGAACATAGAGCTAAAATGAATTTTATGAAGGAAGAAGATTTAAGAAGAAAGAAAGAGCATGACTGTAGAATTGAACTCCTGCAAGAAAATAAAAGCTCTACAAAAAACAACAATTAAAAATTAAAAATAGAACTACTGCAAGAAAAATTAAAAAGCATTAAAAAAAATAGTAACTTTATATTATGAATTTTATTGTTTGGTATTTGAATTTTAAAGTAAAAGAATGTCTAGAACATCTTATTAATAAATTTAATTTTTTATAATTATTTTGTTGAAAATTATTTATAATTTTTATTCAATAATTTATTCTAATTACACATTCAAATTTAATGAAAGTAAAATAGAATTCTTTCAGAAATCCAAACTAACTATTGTATAGGATTTTTGACTTAGCATGATAACATATTAACAATTAATAGGCTAATTTAATGATTAAAAATTTAAATTAACATTTTAAAAGGAAAAGAAACAAAAGGACTAGATATACAGTGTATATCTAGTATCAGTGTATATACAGTGTATAACAGTAAATGTGTAAGTCATATACATATCATGTACAGTACATGTATTTTTTTAAACTGGGCTTTATTGTACATATCATGTACAATAAAGCCTAGTTTAAAAAATTGTGATCCTGAGTTGACTGAAGAGGGGCATAATATGCCCAAAACGTGTAACCTAAATGCATATCAACTGAAATAAAAGATGAGGAAATGCCATGTGATTGATTAATCACACTATATAGTGTTTAAGCAACAAATTATATAAAATTTAACATACCTGCATATTAATTAAAAAATAACCTCTCCTATTTCTAAATAATTCTGCATTTGCTCCAGGAGATGAAACTGGAATATGAGTACAATCTACAGCATCTATAACACCTGGAAACTTAGCAATATTGTAAAATTTTTTAATGACTTTTCTATATTCCAGCATGGTTGATGGAAATCTATGTATCTTTTTGAAAGGCTCCCCAAAGCTTTAGACATAGTTTTAATTATCCTACATATGCTTGATTTTTATGTTGAAATCAGATCTCCCACTTCATGATAAGTTTCCAGTGGCATAAAAACAAAACTAATCAATAACTGCAATAGAGGTGATATAGGATGGTTTCTTCTTGTATTATATGATGACAAGAGGTGCTTGATTTTGTCACATACATGTACAACAGTTCTTTTAGAAAGCATATATCTTTCAATAAACAGTTGATCATCAAACTTTTCAATAGGATTGGATTGATCACAAATTAATCGTCGTGGGATTCTAAAGTAATTTTGTATTATTTCATTTTCATACACATACTCTGCAAAGTAAGACAAATTTTCTGCCATGTTTGCCGAGATTAGTACACTAATCACCCAAATTTGATGGATTAGTTACTAATGCCAGATTACATCTAATCTTAAAATGGTGGAATGCAAAATCAGTAATCCTGGATTTAAGATAGTCGTTAATCCTGCAATTTGTTTAATTATCTGTTGGTAAAATAGAGGGTTAGAGTTTTACATTGGTCGAACAACTTCAAAGAAAAATGTAACAAACACCACTCTAAGTCATGCCAACTCTTCCTCATAAAGAGAAAGGATGAGACTTCACAAATATAGTAGATTTTCATTTCAAACAAATATAGACATTGTGAGAGTTTTCTAGTGAAAACAAGAAACTACCAGTACACAAAGCTGTAACTCTTGTAGACAAAAAAATAATACAGTAGAGCATCGATTATCCGACCCCCGATTAACCGTCACCTTGGTTAACCGACCGCGTTCTAGTCAGCAAATTCAAATGTCTGCTAGTGATGTGGCGCTACAATATTTGGCTATGTCTTGGCTACTTTAATATTATTTTCACGTGTTTTAGCTGGCAACACTGGCTCGACCATGAAAGGGATCCAGTATTTAAACAAGGCTTAATTTTCTAATTTTTAACGATACAATAGCGACGATTATTATTTTTAAAAAATTTTTGTCAGGCTTAACATCGATGAAAATTCAATGCAAAGTAGGTTAATAGTGATATACTAATATACTAATTACATGGGATATAATAATATACTACACTGATAATGGATTTTTTCATACTTTTCGATTATCCGACCAACCCCAGTCCCCAATTGAGTCGAATAATCAATGCTCTACTGTACATCATTAAACACTTATAGAACATTGACCTGGATTTAACACAGTACACACAAGAGACATACCATCTGACAGTCTTGTGCTCAGAATACACTCCATGGTAAGCACCTAATGATCTCAATCTAAATCATGTTGACAAAACTGTCAAACCACTGACTGACTCAAGGATGCCTCTAGAGAGACAGAAGAGTTCAAGATTGACATACCAATTCATAAATACAAGGTAGCTTATTTTAAAAGACAACACTTATAGATGACTCCCAGAGTAAATTTCACATCATGTACAAAACTATACAATACATCAATCAGGTTGCAAGTAAAACAAACATAAGACTATCATCATCATAATGAAATAGAAAACATAATACATCAAAAACTTGCACACAAACAAAATGTATACACAACCAAGAATAATACTACAAGTATACAACTCAACAGAATACACACAAAATATATTATGGTCACGCCATAATTACAGACAAAACAATTCATCACAACAAACCAGACCAGACATCACATTCATTGGCAAACAAAACAAAATCACTTATGTCATAGATATAGCTGTACCAAGCACCTACAATACACTAAAAAAGTTTTAATTAAATTTCTTATGACTGCTGTTTATATATGTTTATATAATAGGACCGAAATGCATATACAGTGATTAAATAAAGAGAAGTAATTAGCTATCTGCTGTGTGTTGGTCTACCGCTAAACCTAAAATTTATATATTTTTTGTGCGGATTTACAGAGACTTTAAAATATTTATACTAAAAAAGTTAGCAAATACTTTAAAGTCATCCATGAAATAAAGCATTTGTAAAGAATGGATAAGATACTTATTGTGCATATAGTCTGTCCTTGCACAGATGTCATACCACATACATTAGACAAATGTCTTGTAACATTAAGACTGCACAACAGCAGATATCAAATTATATTGGAAATCAGCCCTACTTAATTTCCTAAGTATGTGACATGTGTTCTTAAATACAGATATACAGTAAGACCTCGATTAATGCTAATTCAATATAACATGCTCAGCTGAAAGCCTTAAAAAAGCTCAAAATTTACACTGATTCAAATTAACACGACATTTGATTGATTCATACACAATATAATTATTCTCGAACACGAACAAATCAGAAAAAGGTGACAATTCATTACAGCACTGTACTTTCTGTTTGTGTGGTGCAATTTTGGAAAAAATATAACATTATGGATGCCATAGGCAATATTGACTTTGCTTTGCAATAATTAATGGTTAAATGCAAAAATGGAGTGTGAAATAAGGTATGGCTGGAGGTATCCAAGAATTCTCAATGAGAAGAGCCTATTGTTGACCAAATTGTCAACCTAATCGATACAGCAGGACTAGATGTAGATGAGCAGTATATTGAGGAGGTACTGCAGGTTTCTGGTGAGAGCTTTACCAATGACGACCTTCAAGAACTGGCAGAACAAGGAATTCATGTAGAACTGGAAAATAGTGATTCTGAAAATGAAGAACCCAAAGAATTTTTCTACAGATTTCTTTAGTAAAAGTTTGGTAACAATAACTGAAATTGTTGATCAAATTGTAGCAAATGATCCAGATTTTGTAAGGAGTGCAAAAGCAAAATGAGGTGTTTTGGATGTGATCTCCTGCTACCAACATTTGCTTAATGAAAGAAAAAGAAAGTGACAAATGACACTAAATCAGTTCATTGCAAAAAAATCAAGGATTTCAGAAGAGCCAGAACCTTCATCACAAAAAATGAACTTTACATTTCTGCGTGTATATGTTTGTGTGTTATTTAACATATATTATTATGCAAATTAATATAAAAATAACTTAAAATTAAAGTAAAATCTGTTTATTTTTGGTTGCATCTTCTCCTTTCCCATTTACTCTGTGTTAAAATGGCCTCATTTAACGCTGTTTAATTTAGCGCTTTATCATCTAGGAATGTATCCCTCACATTAAGCGGAGTCTTACTGTATATACATGAATAGCACATAACCACAATAACAGTTTACTGTAGCTATACCTTGGCCTTGGACCAGCATAACAATGTTTATCAGTGTTAATCAAGTAGTATACAAGTCACACATACACCACAATACTAATAATTATAATTCACAAAAATTATAAACAAATAATTATATATTATTTAATGATCAGTTTTCAATTACAAAGCAAATGTTTTTATTAAAAAAACATATATAATAGAAAAAATATACAAAAACCTCCTTTGCCAAGTTATTTCTGGTGTCATCACATTTTTAAATTAAAAAAAAAAATACTCCAAAGAATTCCATTTAAAATTATTGGTGAAAGTGCTTTTTTGTATATTTAAATGTTACAGTAATTATATCATACATTTTTATTAAAACACTGTCTTTTTTTATATATTATTTCAATTTTACAAGTTTGGTTTAGCATTTAAAAACATTCAAAATTAATTTCAGATGAATGTCTTCAAGAATACTTCAACTCCATACAAGGATCCAATGAACTGTTATACTATAGAAAATATCCCTTTTAGAACTGATAGCAATAAAAACAAATGACTTCTCAGTTTTAAAATCAAAACTAAACAACTTATGGATGGGCTAATGCAACTTTGAAAATGTTAATCTAAAATTATATTTAATGTTTTAAAATAGTATACTGAATTTCTATAGAACAAAAATTAGAATCAATTTAAAGAATCATATAAAGTTGTTATATATTATACATGTAATAGCAATTTACCTTTCTTGTTTCACCATTATAAAAACTTATGGCTGGAAATTCTTCTTCGGGTACTTTGACTCGTAAATTCTTACACCTTCAGTGAAAAATTAAAATTTAATATCTATTTTAATTAAAGACAGATTTAAATAATTAATTAAATTCTATTTTCACAAATTTTTGTCCCCATATCTTCAAATTATATTAAGAAACACCCACTCAAATTAGCATTTGATGTCATCTGATGATGAGCTAATAACAGGTTGTAAAATGTTTTATGCAGTTAAATAAAGAAAACGACCTCTTTAAAAGAATAGCAGGTTTATCCTAAGGCAGTTAAAAGCTATTTTATCACAAGTTATATAAATTATATAAAATGTAATGTATTAGATAATTCAAATATATAAAACTATCAATGTAATTCTATAAAATAAAATTATTAAATATTTAATACCCACACATCAACCCAATGTACTGAGACAACTGGAATATTATATTTCAAAGCATTTTCATAATTAACTATGGATCCTTCTTTAAAAACCAAGTGAGTAACATCACGATTCATGCAAGGAGCTATTTGGCTTCCCATTTGTCTTAATTCATATTCAACACATTTAGAACAATTATCTGATCCACACCATACATCCACATATATTATCAAACCTATAAAAATAAAAATGATTAAATGAATAAATTACTTACAAGAATTATGATTAAAAAAAATAATGATTATTAAGTAACATATTAGACAAAATATGAGATAATTATGAAAAAAATGCTAATTTTATAGTAAAAACTAATTAGTTTCATATGATAGAAAATATTAAATGAATATTTAGAAACTTTTATATGGAAAATTAACAGGAAAAGGGTTAATATTAAAATGGCAAGTGTATAAACAAAAAGAAAAAAGAAAAAGATAAAAAATAAGATATATATATATATATATATATATATGAAATCAACATTTAATTTCAATTGTCACCCTAAACTTTGATTTCTATCATATCATTATATTATTGCATTCAATAAAATTTTGGCAATTTTCTCTTAAAAAACATGTTCATATACTTTTTAATACTTTTTTGTTTTTATTTAATCATAAAATTTATTATTGTTTATCATTAAGCCCCAGAAAATTGCTCTTAAAAATTGAAATTATATGCTTATAATATTCACTAAAATATGAAAATATTCTCAAAAAAACTGATAAGCTCAAAACATATTTTGATTATTTAAACATTTAAACAATAACAACCATAAAAAAGTTTTGGGTCAATTTAAATCCTTTTTTACATTCAGCCAGAGACAGATGGTGTACAACTTGAAAATAAAATATAAAACTTCACTAAAATGATTGACAACATAACATTAAAAACACATACAGAATATACTTGATGCCAACCTCAGTTGTATTTAAAGGTGAAACCTTTAAATACAAATGAGTTAGTAATAGTAAATATTTTCTATTCATACATAATCTTTGTGTAATATATCTGAAATACATAATTTAATTTAAAATAAATTTCTCTTATATAAAACTACTAACTTTGAAGGCATGTTTTAGTTCATGGTTTGTTATTTTAACTTTACCTTGGTTTGCTTCAAACTATTTTTATATAAAATTTAACATATTTGTGTTAATAGTATACAAAATTGATATTCCTATTGTTTCTGTTGGCAATATTATTACAGATTTTAAACAAACATAAAGCATCAAATAATAATTAGTTTAATTTTAATTATATTTATCATACAATAAAAACACACCTTTAAAAATCCAGCAAAGAAAATTTACTAAATAAAAACATTTTTGATTGGTTTTACTGATCTTCCTCAGTTATTATAACACAGAATGTAAAAATAAAAACATAAATTTAAAAATAAACAATAACCAGAATTCTCAAATAAATACATAAATAAATAACTGAAATTGTAGTTGCAAATAATAAAGAACTACAGAAATGAAATAAACAACAAAAAGTAAAAATAGCCAAATAAATGTCCCTTATTATAATTAACTTTCATAAAAAGACTGCCATGAGGTAGTCAAGGTGTCCATGTCTCTATGGTTGATGCATACTAACTTTTTTTAACCAGCTTTTTTGTGCGCTTTAAAAACCCGCAGCAATTTTTAAAACTGATCAATGATAACTCCTATGGATTATTCCAACAATTAGACCAGAAGAGTGAAACAGCAGTAAACTTTTTGGACATTTCCATCTCTTGCAAATATGGCAAAGTTTGGACCAAAGTATACAGGAAACCATGTTTTCAACCCATTTTAATTCTACATAACTGTTGATCCTCTCCATATCAAATTGGCAGCCTTTAGATCCTTGATAAGAAGGGCATATACACATTGTACCAGCATACGTGACACCAAAACAGAGCTGAATTAAGTCTTAAGGATTGCAGAGCAACAGGGTTATCCAATAGAAATGATAAGGAAATTAATTGCAACCTTTCAAGCAACAAAACGTCAGCATGCATTGGTGGACCAGAAACAAAGAGTAGTTTAAAATTATATCCCTTTTTTAAAAGGAATACATAAGAAAGCGCCAGAGCTAACAATCTTGAGGTTGTATATTAACACAACCCAACGATATTCAGAATTTTAAGGAACGATAAAAATCTGTATAACCATAATTCAGCTGCGGGGATTTACTCCATCTTGTTAATCAACCAATGTTTCAAATCAAAACTGGTCTACATGGGTGCCACTATGCACAACTTACAACAACTCAAAGAACATAAATATACAATTGATAAAAATCTTGAAAACATAATGCTGGCAGTGTATGCACAACATCAGGACATTCAGGTGCAATGGGAGCAGGTATCAATCATCAAACTAACATCGAATATATATACTACTAGCAGACCCCGCCACGCCTTGTTGTGGCTCAAAATGTATCTATTATAAATGTATAACACTTCCCCCGTGGGGGAAAATTTTTCGAAAAATTTTTTCTTAGTGTACATTCTCTTGACGTACCCTATTAAAATGCAATCAAAAGCGCAAAAACCCACATCTAAAATAGTATAATAAAAGTGAAGTTCTTCACAGTAAGCCTTAATCCTGTCCCTCTCCCCCGGGGGGAATATCGAAAAATCCCTTCTTAGTGTATATTCTGTTGACGTACCCTATTAAAATGCAATCAAAAATGCAAAAAAACCACATCTAAAATAGTATAAATAGAAGCAGAGTTCTTTACGGTAAGCCTTCTCCGTAAGGCTTACCGTAAAGAACTGTCCATCCCCCATGTTTAACGGAATAATATACAGACTATGTCCATCCTGAAGTTCCATTCTAAATATTGGTGAAAAAATTTTTGAAATCGGATGAGTAGTTTTGGAGATTACCTGCTGCATACAAACTAACATACATACAAACATTACCTCTTTATAATATTAGTATAGATGAGACAAGAGCGACTCACAATAACCAATTAACCGGAGTGCAAAAGATCTATATTTGTGAACATTTTTTATGTCCCTTCTGGACTCTCTCTTCCTCAGGCTTCTTTTTTATTCAAACAAGCTGGCTGTTAACCTTCGAATATCTATCGAACATTATTCGATTTGGGATATGATACACACATGCATTCCAAGATGTTTAAATAATATTGAACAATACAATGAGTACAAATGCATACGTGTTCCATTTTCAATATGATTGCAAATTAAATATTATTGTTTAGTAGACCTGCCACGCCATTGAAAGGCACATCTCTGAAATTAATGCAGGTGATTCTGCATCCTGCCTTAAAAATTTCAATTGCCTCCAACCATTTGAGATGTTCTGGGTGCACTCCAGTTAATTGATTATTGTGAGTCATTCCTGATTTTATATATTCATCCTGGTGTGGTGCAGATAAGTACATCTATGAGTTATCTGGAAAGATTGGAGATTTTTAACCCTAGATAACTAATCATTTGTCCACACAACGACACACCTCCGCTCGAATGTGAAATTCACAAACTTTCCTGCGCTTCCTGCCAGTCATTCTTTTTCTACCTTAATAATCTGAATAAACAGTGCAGTGTGTGATGCAATTGTGTTTACACACCAATTAGAAATTGACTTATGGCCATCCCGTAGTCCACTCAACGAAAGTTTAGTTACTACATAACTTTTTTGTAAAGGCAGTTACAGTACATTGTTATGGCTGCAGATGTAAACAGTAAGTACGTGATAAATGCCATTCTCTTTTTGGGAAAAGGTACTGATCCTCAGAAACAACTACTGGCTACATTTTCAATAAAGAAAATAACATCTATTTCACCTAGAACCAACTGTAACATTACTATGGATAATAGATTCACATCTGTATCTTTGGCAGATGAACTATTGAAGCCACCTTATAATTTGACCTTAGTTGGAACTCTTAGAAGTAACAAGAGATATTCTTAAAAAATTAAAAAATTCTAAATCATGCGCTGTTGGTACTTCAATATTTTGTTTCAACAGCAATAAGACATTAGTTTTGTACAAAGCCAAGTCAAATAAAGTTGTTTATGTTTTGTTGACTATTCATGATCAACTTAACATTGATGAAAATACAGGAAAACCATAAATAATACATTTTTATAATAGTATAAAGAGGGCAGTAGACACAGTAGATCAAATGTGTTCAAATATGAGTAATAACAGAAAAACCAAAAGGTGGCCACTATGCATGTTTTATAATATGCTAAACCTATTGGCAATCAACAGTTATGCTATCTATGTCTCTAATTATGTTAGAAACAAAAAAAAAACCCGATGTCCCAGCGAGATTTCTTTATGAAGAAGGGAGACAAACTTATAGAGCCCAGGCTATGACAGCGGTTACAGACAGTGCCTTTGAGGCATGATATCAGAATCATAATACAGGATATTCTAGGTGATGTGCTAAGTGTAGAAGCTCCTACTCATTCTGCATCGAATATGCTATTTATATCCATTGAAAGCTTGATGAATGACAAAACAACTGTTGCATGAAATGCAAAAAATCGATTTGCGGCCTCCATAATGTTAACATACGTAGCAACTGCCTATTTCCTAAACATTTTGTCCTTATTTAGTTCCTATTTACCCATGCCATTGTGCCATGTAACAAGTTCCTATTTTTATTAAACAATTTTGTTGATATTAACATTTTTTAATGCGTAATCTGCTTGATGAACGTGTAGTTATAATGTAACTGAAAATTAAGTTTAGTTATCTAGGGTTAAAGCGCACAAAAAACCAGTTGCATCAACCATAGAAACGCAGACACCACGCGATGGTCTTTTTATGATAGTTAATTTTATTAAGGGACATTTATTCGTCTATTTTTACTTTTTATTGTTTATTTTATTTCTGTAGTTATTTATTTATTATTCACAACTACAATTTCAGTTATTTATTTATGTATTTATTTTAGAATTCTGGTTATTGTTTATTTTTAAATTTACGTTCTATTTTATCATAACTAAGGAAGATTGATTAAACCGATCAAAAACATTTTTATTTAGTAACTTTTCTTTACTGGATTTTTAAAGGTGATTTTTTATCATATTCTTTTTATCCAGTAGATAAAAAATTAGATTATTAGATAATTAGATTAATTATATATAATTAGATAATTACATTCACATTCATATTTATATTCTTTCAAATATATTTTACATTGTTAAAATTTCTTACCTTTTAAAATTTCTGAATAAATAGAAACAGACTTGTTATTAATATAATTAGTTATTTTCATGTTATTTTTCAGATCATTTTGTAGATTTTTCGAATTTAAATCATTATCAATTATTTGAATCGCATCCCTTATTTTCTTATTTAGATCTCTCCCATTTAATCTTTTTTTATTTGATGGAGTAAATAATGGTTCAAACAGTTTTAATGTTTTGTTGTGTAAAGTTGAATTTACTTCATCTGGAACAGATGAATCTGTCAGGTTGTTACTAGATTCCATTGGAGTTAAACAAATAGTAGAAAAACTATCATAAATTTTCGAATTTTTCCCATTGTTAGTGATATTTTTATTTTGGCTCCTGGTAATTCTTACATTTTTCTTAGAATTCCTGTTTCTTTTGTTCAATAACTTTTTACATTTCATAGAATTAGAATTAGTGTTAGTATTAATCTTCAAATTACCATTTAATGAGTTTGAATTTGTTGGCTTGACAGATTGTCCTCCATCTATAGACATAAAAGACTTTTGAGAAATCTCTAAATTCCTCTTATTTTTTTTATTTTCTATAATTTTTGACACATTTACAACATTTTCTGTATTACTCTTCTTATTTGGACAAATTTCAAGCAAAGTGTTGTTGCTTTTCAAGTTTAATGTTTGCTTTTTATTAACTAAGTTTTTATTTAAAATTTTCAATTTGCCTAGATTTTGAGATGAACTGTTAGAAAGATCATCAATATCTCGAAGCTTTTCATTATTTTTACCACTTCTACTTCTAGTGTCTCTAATGGATGATTCCAAATAAAACTGATTACTGGTAACATTTGGAGCATAAGTGGAAAATAAACTTAAAATGCTATCTTCAGGGACATCTGATCTTGAATTTGCTTCTGTTCTATTACTCACATCAATCCTTTTATTAGAACAGTTTCTACTGAATTTTGAGTGCTCATTGCAATCTTTGTCACTATCTTGTTTTCTTTTCTTATTCAAAACACTTCTTTCACAGACTGGTGATGACATATAATCTTCTACACTACCATCTTCTATATATCCACTACATTCCAAAGGATCTTCAAAACAAATCTTAATACTATTAGATGAAAGGGGAGATGACTTTCTCTTAGAAATGTTTAATTTTCTTTTATCCATTATAGATGATGACTGGTATTCAAACTTAAATGATTCACATTGAACTTTTAAACTTCTTTTGTAAGTGAAATACTATTCTTTGATGAAAATTTTCAATTTTCTTTTTATCGATATTCTGTAAAAAATTAAGAATTAGTTTGATATATTAATACTTTATTTAGAAGAATAAGAATTATATTTATTTTAATTTGCATAAAGTTTTATTTTAATCCTTATCCTAAAATCTGTATTCTGTTTAAACTGAGAAAACTTTAATTGTAAGATGAAAATACTTTCAATAAATTTAATTCATTAATTTATCATCAAACTGCTTGTAACTACTTGGATAAAAAGATTTTCTTAAAGATTTGACAAGATAATCTTAATTTATATGCATGAAAGTAATTTGATAAGTCATGGCAAAAATAGTTTTTAAGTAAAAATAATAAAATCCATGGCCGGCGTTATTTACATTTAATACATAAAAAATATAAATTCGACTTTTAACAAAGCTAAAAACTTTGTACTTGTCCTCCTTTTCGCCGTTCTCACCATCAGCAATACTTTAAAAAAACGTTCACAAAAAATCACAGAGGCGACCTTCCTTTTGAGGCTACTACCTCTGTAACAATATGTAAAATCACGTAAAGCGTCCTCTGGTGATCTTGCCATATTCACAATAATACATTTTAAGTAAAAATAATAAAATCCATGGCCGGCGTTATTTACATTTAATACATAAAAATATAAATTCGACTTTTAACAAAGCTAAAAACTTTGTACTTGTCCTCCTTTTCGCTTTACGTGATTTTACATATTGTTACAGAGGTGGTAGCCTCAAAAGGAAGGTCGCCTCTGTGATTTTTTGTGAACGTTTTTAAAGTATTGCTGATGGTGAGAACAGCGAAAAGGAGGACAAGTACAAAGTTTTTAGCTTTGTTAAAAGTTGAATTTATATTTTTTATGTATTAAAAATAGTTTTTCTCCAAAAATATGACAGATCTGTGAAAGTGAAAAATGAGAGTTTAATTTGGATTATATTAAAATTTTTGGCACAATTTGACAAAATTAACTACAATAGAGTCATTACAATGATGTCATAAAATTAACATTGAACAGACACTCGGCCAGAAATGAAGAAACTGTAAAGATTAAGATGCACAATGAGAAACTTACAATGAACTTTTGTAGTTTATGATGCAATAAAAGAATAACTCACCTTATTGATTTTTCAAAATAATGACATATTCCTTGCATTTTTCCCACATATCCATCAAAATATGAGGCACCCACCAAAAGTAGAATTTTCTTTTATGCAATATTTTTGAAAGAATGTCATGGACCAACAAAGATAATACTTGAACTTTGCACCATATCCAAAAAGATGAAGAGAAAAAATTAATGGAGTAGTGTTACATCATTTTGCACAAAAGCTTAGAATTATCAATGTCCACGACCCTTTATCCTTAGACAGTAGATGGATTGCTATTTTATATTCTTATGATACTACCATTTTTATTCAAAAGTCCTTTCTAACTTTATCTAGAAGCAGAATCGATGAGGGTGGTTGTTAAAAGTCACATAGTATGGATGGCCATGGGTCTACATAACATTGTAGTGTGTTATATTTAATTCATTTGTTTATAATTTCCTGTTCTATTTTATTTGATTTTACTTTATTTTTTACTTTCTAAATAATTATAACTTTCCTTGTAATTTTAAATTTGAAAAATTTTAAACAGTCATCTCTCTTTCAAATACATTCATTCTAACACACTTGATAATTTTCACAGCTGATGATGTTCTTATAAATGATTGTTTCCAGATTCAAGCATTTTTTCCCCTCATCTTTTAGAATGTGAGAAACTATATAGACAGTAAGACTAGTCTTTATAGATAAATAAATACAGCTCCATCACCAATCAATCTGAAGGCATTCCACAACACCTACAACTGGCAAACTTTTAATTTTTGTCGATGGCTGCCTGCAGTTAGATATAGAGATTGGATGGAAAGTGCTTACCAATACTTAGGCAGAGAAACCTGTCTTTATGGTATATATTCACCTCAAACTGCATATAGAACTAACAATGTTGAGGTATGCTCGACACCAAGACTTCATCTAGCTGTCACCGTGTTCCCATTCTGACCTATGCTTGGAAACATGGACACTAACAAAAGAGAAAAAAGTAGAATTCAAGTAATGGAAATGAAATTCCTGTAGTCAATTCTGGGAAAACCAAAATTAGATAAAACTACAATCTTTTTAAATTGCAGCCCAATAAGAAACAAAGATATTGGAAGTGCATAATATTGGAAATAAAATGATGCAATCTACAAGAAGAGTCCAATATTAAAGGTACGGGCCAAAAATTTTTTTAAAGGTCCGAATAAATGAAAATCCAACAGGGGGCAAAATTTGGACTATATGGAGGATGTTGCAGGACCTCCCAATTTCGCTATGACAACCACAATTTGGTTTGATTTGATTTGATTTATGGAGTATAATCCAGATTTAGCCCCCTCATATTTTCATTTATTCGGATCTTTAATTAAAGAAATTTTTGGCAGGGAAACGCTTTACGGATCAAAAGGAATTGGAAGACATCATTCTGGCCTACTTCAAGCAACAGTACTGTGAAGGAATGTTTCAAACTGGAGTCATGCTGGGATAAGTGTCTCAACATTTAAGTTGAGACATTTATCCCAGGCAATTATGTTGAGAAATAAACAAAAATATGTAGATTTTGTGGAATGTATTAAATATTTTCTTTACTTATAAATGTTAGTGTAATTTTGGCCTGTACCTTTAATATTGGACTCCCCTCATACATTGAGATGGTTTGGACTTTTGAAAAGGATGGGGATCTTCCAAGAGAAATTTTCAATAAACAATTACAGGGAAAAAGGCCAGCAGTACATCCAAGAAAGAGATGGAGAGACCAGGTAAAGGAAGATGCAGAGGCAGTCAGAGAAATCTGGAGGAAGATCAGATGCGGCAGAATAGGAAAACATGGAGTCAACTTGGCCGACCCAATGTTCTGTCAGAATGCGGAACGCAAGATGGACATAACGGCAACCATTAACAATTACATTTATCCTTAATTATTGGATGCACGTGTCAAAAAGTTAATGCGTGTATGTATAGTTGACAGGATGAAAGATGGCACTTAGTAAATACTAACCATGCCTACTTTAGGAAAGATAGAGTAACAGAATGGAGTGATATTCTTTACATCCAAACTTTTCTCGGTACTTATGTGTTAAGAGGATGCCAGTTCAGTGGGGACGCACGTTCTAACCTAACCTAACCTATTCTAATAAAATATTCGATATTTGGGTACTTATGAGTTAAGAGGACGCCAGTTCAGTGGGGACGCACGTTCTAACCTAACCTAACCTATTCTAATAAATTACCATAATTATTACCAATCAAATTCATAGTATAGGTTAGGTTAGGTTAGGTTAGAACGTGCATCGCCACTGTTTCTTTTTGTTTGCTGGAATCAGAGGTGAGCCGCCATGACGGTATACATATCTGGACTTTAACCGGCAAATAGGCGATATCTATCATCCTAATTAATTTTTTCTTTCATTTTTACAACCTTATCAGTAACTTTCTTTCTTTTTAGATTTAAATTTACTAGTCTATTGTTATTTTGATATTTTCATTCAAAAGCGCGACTTTAATCGTACCCTATTTCCGACTGGCGTCCTCTTAACACATAAGTACCCTTTTCTCTACTGACCAGACGGTTTTCTTTTGTTTACACAAATACTCTTTTCCAAGAAAAATGACGTAATATAACTGATGACGTGCAGCGTAAGTACTCGCACGTGCGGCAAAATTACCGTAGGACTATACCTGAAGTTAACTCTGTCAAACTATTAAATGCAATTTTAATCGTAGTTAATCTTCAAATTAGGCTTCGATTTAGGCTAAAAACGGAAGTGCCGCCATGATGTGTCACGCATCTGAACATTGACCAAACATTCATTTTATTTCCAATGATAAATTAGGGTTAAGCCATTTTTCTTACCTGAAAACAATCTTATTTTCAATTTTAATCGATTTCCTTTATCTTACAAATTCCATATGATAGAAGATATTATTTCGGCTATTCTACTACTTTTTTTTAGCTTTACTAAAGATAAATAAGAATACTTTTATGTTAAATTATGTTTAAAATACAATCGGTTACAACATCCATTACATACTTCGCGCGTCCTTCCACAACATTTCGTAAATACACCAATAAGAATCCACGGTACAAAACTCTTCTGACCAATAAAATTCGATCTCAGATTGAACAGACGACAGACGATAACCTACTTTAAAATCTTTTTTAATAAAACTCAAATACAGATTAAATTTATAAATTTGAAGTTTCTACAACTTAAATAATATTAATCCTTTTATCACAATATGGAAAAGTACTGAAAACGAAGCCGTCAGTTGGCGTTGCGAGCAGTCAGATTTAAAACGGGACTTGACACTGGCGGCTAATTACAGAACGAATCGTTGCCATACTTCTGATTTTTAGCACGAGATGCCGCTACTTCGTGACGTCAAGAAGCTGGACAAGCATAATTCTGACTGTTGTGTAAATACAATACAGTCAGAATTAATTTATTTCGAACAAAATTTGCTACTGTTCGTTTGTTGAACGTCAAATTTGTCTTTTGTCTAATGTTCAATATTTATATTATAGCTTTAAAAGATGATTATTGTTCATTATTTTTATCAAAATATTTAAAATTATACAGTATATTATAAAAGTTATTCTACAGAATATGTAGACTTTCGTTCTTAAATTCTTTTAATCTCAAGATTTTCCTGCTGAATTTTCAATCTCTTACTCGATTTTTTTTTTTGTATTATTTAATAAAATTATTCATTGCTTTTTAGAAATAATTTAAACGTTTTATATTAGAAAATTTGCAATATTTTATTTCACAATTAACGTTTATCTTTGAAATGTTCCACAAAACCAAACTCAATTTTCTGCATAGGCATCCTTATTTGGTTTTCACGAAATTTTAAACAACCTAACCCTAGCGAATACCAAGAGTTAAGTGTATCTTGTGTAATTTGAGTAAAGTCTTTTGAATTGGTAGTTTAAATCCATCAACAAATTATCATCGTCACTAAAATATTAGTGAACTTTTTGTAGCCTGATTTAACAGATCTGCAATGATTCATTTGAACGTTAGCTAAGAAAAAATGCCACAGTATTCATAAGAAAGATGTTTTCTTTATGAAAAAGATTTATTGAAAATTATACATTTGCAACATTTTCATATGCACAATCTGTTATTGAATGTTTTCTTTTTGTAAGTACAGTACATTTCTGAACTGAGCGTAGTCATGATCCCATGTGCCAGAGCCGCACGAGTAGAATTTATAAATTCCATGAATTTTTAGACAGTACGACACAGTTAACTTTAGTTGGTTCTCAACTTATCTGTGGCTTTCCATTCGTAGAAATCTGTCAAATACAGTACATAATATTTTTAATTACTACTGAATGAGCTGTTAATATTCATGAAAACAATTATTTTAAGATATATTAATTAAATACAGCATTTTTAAAATTTCAGAAGAGAATTTACTTACCCTTCATATTTTTGAATTCCAGCTTCTCAATTTCACAGGCAAATCCATGTACTGTACAGGTGCAGTACTTTCTCCAAATGTTCACGTAATCGAAGGAAAGTAGAAAATCCTCCAGAACATGAAGTCTCACGACAGAATATAGATTTTTCCTCCACCAGGATTTGCTTATGTTCTAAACATACATGCTTGTTAGTAAGATTTCCTTTTGTGGAGAAGCGCTTATCTCGATAACAAGTATTTTCTAATATATCCAACGCAATATTTTCCATAACGATTTCTTAGCAACGTAGCGGGAATACTTCAAAACCAATTATCGATGGTTTTAAAGCTAAAATATCGACAAAAAATTGCAAGCACACCGTACAGTACGAGGTATACGCTATCTGAACGTCACGACACTAACGGCATCTCGTGGTAAAAACCAGAACTACGGCTACGGAATCGTTCTGTAATTAGACGCCAGTTTCTCAACGGGGGCGATAGCGCCCCCATGTGGGCGTTTTTCCATGTTCAGGGGCGATTAGTAACAATTTATATTTTGGGGGCGAAAACAATTTTCTGGGCGATATAGTAAAACATTATATTAAGAATAATTAGATATTTTATTCGTTATATCCTACAATAATTAAACAAATAACATTATACTCAGTGCTTTTTTGGGGAAAAAAGGTGGTGGAACGCTCATCTCATTACTAAAAATATATTACATGCATCGTACACAAGATTCGGCACAAGCAGGAGCAGGACCGTCTTAATAATTTTGTTGCCGATCTTCTATGCTCAATAGAGCGATTAAACACGGACTAAACGTCAAATTTTCAAAAATTCTCTTAAAACTTTCAAAATATATCGAAAAAAGGTGGTGGAACGCCGTTCCATTGCGTTCTATAACAAAAAAAGCGCTGATTATACTAGTCACTAGTCTATTCAATGCAGTACGAATTTGGCGTTAGCCTCGGCCCTGGGCATCGAAATTTTGAATTGAAGGGGGCGACGATTTGTTAGAGGTTGAGAAACACTTTTCTAAAGGATTTTCTACTTCCCTTCGATTACGTGAACATTTGGAGAAAGTACTATACCTGTACATGGATTTGCCTGTGAAATTGGAAGCTAGAATTAAAAAATATGAAGGGCAAGTAAATTCTGTTCTGAAATTTTAAAAACGCTGTATTTAATTAATATATCTTAATTGTTTTCATGAATATTAACAGCTCATTCAGTTGTAAATAAAAATATTATGTACTGTATTTGACAGATTTCTACGAATGGAAAGCCACAGAGGAATCGAGAACTAACTAAAGTTAACAGTGTTGTACTGTCTAAAAATTAATGGAATTTATAAATTGTACTCGTGCGTCTCTGGCACATGGGATCACTACACTCAATACAGAAATATGCCTACAAAAAGAAAATATTCAATAACAGATTTTGTATATAATAATGTTGCAAATGTATAATTTTCAATAAATCTTTTTATTTCTTAGCTAACATTCAAATAAATCATTGCAGATCTGTTAATTTAAATCAGTGGTCCCTAACCCCCGGGCCGCGGACCGGTACCGGTCCGTGGATCAAATAGTACCGGGCCGCCCAAGGAACATTAAATTACTGGTATTTCCATTTTATTTACTATGGTGTATTTCTCTCGGGTTTGTGCGACTCTTAATGGACGACGGAACAAAGGAATAAACTGGACATAAGAAACACTTCGGGTGTTATTGTCTCCTATTACCCCCAGATGAAACCGTCTTGTTGCAAAGAAACAAGCTCAGGATTAAGACGGCTTTTCTTTTTCACTAGACTTATTACACCATCAATGAAACGGTAAACAAACTTTAGAAAGACTTTTTATTTATTTGAGAATGCACTTCGGATAATTATATCCCTTTTCAACTCTTGTGTTACAACTATACAGGGAAAATTAGCATAACGTGTACAAGTTAGTAAAAAATTTACTATAATGTTACAAAATTGTAAAAGAACTTACACGAGACTTACATGGACTATGAGAAATGCAAGAGTTGTGACATTAGAAAAAATATGGATGGTGATTAATGCTTAACAGGTATAAGCTACAATAATGATTAAATTGGAAAAGATTTACAAAAAGGGGAACAATTAACATAGATGTAAAAACAATTTTTTGAACTTACAGCGAACATGACGGCCTGGTACATAGTGCTGGAAAAAACATCCCAGTAAGCATGACACAATGTTGAGTTAACAGAAACAGAAAGGAGGGAACAGAAACAGATTGTTTTAGTTTACAGTAGAGTTTTATAGGATGGAATGGTCCATAAATTGTAAGTGGGAGAGGATGCATTAGGAAGGCATCACCTTGAGAAGGGGGAGAGAGGTAGTGGGTGGGGTGGACATAAGGGAAGGAGAATCGAAAAAACAGGTGTTTTGAGGGGTTAGGGAATTGTAGAAGAGTGGAGGAGAAAGGGAAAATGAGACATGGGTGTCCTGCTGGGTGCCGTATTTTAACACAATAATTAAGCATTATTGACACCCTCTTCCGGGTTTCTTTTGGTCAAGTATGGATACCAAATTTCATGTAGTTTTTGACCAATATTATTATTCATTATACTGTCTTTGTTTTTAAGGATCTCAAGATGTTCATACCACCTCCTTTTCTGTGTATGTAATTCTTTTTTGACAATTTTTACAGTTTCTTTTAAGATTTGACAACCTTC